GATGCTCACATGTGAAATTTCAAAAAAAAAAAACAAAACAAAAAAAAAAGAAAAAAAAAAAACCCACACAAATATGTAGTCCTGAAGATGTTGAATAATCATTTTACAAAACAGTTTTCTGAATGGGGATTAGTTGGTGATTGTTTGTAACAAATATGCTAATGCTTTAGAAATGTCAGTATTTTTGTAATTATTTCTACCTCCAAATATATATATATTGTCTTTCACTGGATAATGTGTGTAGATTTTTACATGTGCCTTATTTGACAATGCTTATGTCTTGTTTTTCCTTGTCTCATTTGAAACTCTTGTTTTGTTAGTTTAAAGGACGCAGCTGCATAGATTATATAGCTTCCATTTTATTGCTGTTTGAAGCAGATGTTCACCGCTGTCAGCAAGAACTCAACCTGAATTTAAAGGTGGCATTCCATTTACTAACACCCCCAGGTCCTTCCAAGTACCTCTGTTAAAACAAATTTGTTTGGCTAGGCACTGAGTTGTTTTCCAGTGATAGTAATGAAGAAGCCCTTATCTTGCTCCGTGGATTAATTCCTTCTGTTCATTTCCCCACTGCACTAATTGTGCTTATTACTCTGCCTATTCTTGTGCATGTTTTCATTGATTTCCCTCTCCTGGCTTTTGCTTCTCTTGAAACTGTTGCCCAGTCACTTCTGCTCCAGTTCTCTTTACTCTCTAAATAGTAGTTTATTCTGCCACGTATCAGCACAATGTGGGTAACATTTGTCTAGCCTGGCAGAACAGGTTAACAGGCAGTTTCACGTCAAAGCAGACTGAATGTGACTTCGTATTAAGGCAGCGTTAGGCACTGCATGGAAATAGGTCATTAACTTTAAACACTTCTCAAAATATAATTTATCAGTTTCCAGAATTTCCAGTACAGGACCTCCTGAAGAGAGAGCCATTGTTCAATTCAATTCAGTGTGGGTGACAAAGTGAAATTTAGAAGAAGTAAAGTGTCTATTTGATATTTAACTCTTTATTAAATCTTTCTTTAAATTTTTGCCTGTCGGTCTATCTTGCTGTTTTTATTATACATCAGTTTCTTTGTATAACTTGTGAGTTTCATGTGTTTTGTTTTTATTATGTAAATATCATTATAAATAAACTTATTTATAAATCATAGACTTGTTAATTTTGGAAATTGTACTTTCAAGGCATCCTGACTTGCTAAGATGCTAAGGTCATATAATCCTCTAGAATTAGAAGAGTAATGAAGCTCTCAAAGCAATCTTCAGATATTATAAACTCTGAACATGATTCAGTATATTTACCCAATCTTGAAGGGATATTGGATATAATGGATATATTTTAGTATAATGGGGCTAGAAGAAATCTACAAATATTACTACCTCCTCCTACATTGGAGGACCCAAATCTCTTGGATTGTTGGATATACTACCTTTAAAAATCTCGTAACTTTTCTGTAATAATGTGTCTTTAGGGATAGGCTGTTCTTTTGTTGTTATTAAGTCCATATTATCTTTAATGAGATGTAGTTGTGTTCTCCCTGTAATGCTCTATTATGTCTTGGGCTTAATAAAAATATTTGTGATCATAAGTTGTATTTTCACACCCTTTTTAATAGTTTCTAACTCTCCTAAATACAATATTGAGCTCAAATGAGATTGTTTGTGCTTAATATTGTTTGTTTCTCAATAAACTGGAATTTATTACTTAGGATATATTCCCATTAGTCCTTTCACTGGACTCATGTTCGTGTGAACATCATAATCCATTACCAGTGGTAAAGAGCATGTGAAGCCATAGTTGGAATATCATCTTGACCAACTGAAGCAACTTTTATTTTTTAATATAACTTACAAGGAGATAGAAGACATTTGCCGTATGTGTTTCATAACTATATTCCTGACCCCATAGACTTGTAGCTTTACACCAATAGATACTTATATTGCAACTTTAACTACTCTTGTTTCTAACTGTTGGTGTTATTGTATAGAGGTTAGATAGGAGTATTAGATTTGGTTTACATTTGTGTGGCCCTAAGCAAGACACTTAAATTGTCCGTAAAACTAAGCAATTCTTTTAACTCTTTCTTCCCAGATTGTGTATTTTCTGATTACAGTCTGCAACTCTGATTCATGCATGTTCTCTCTTGCTCACTCAGCAAGGAGCCATTTATTTTGGGTACAGGATGGGATAATGGAATGTGTTGTCCCTTCAGTAAAAAAGATGGCCTAAAGGTTGATGATGATGCTATGATTGAAATGAAATACTTGCTTATGAAACCTGCCATGATTGCATTTTATATTTGAATTACGATTTGTGTAAACAACCAGGAATGATGTTGTGAATTTTCATGTTAGATAAGCATTGTAGTTCTCACTTTCTCTAAATTCCATTTTCATTAAAACTTGTCAGAATGTAATTTTATGGCAGAAAATGAACATGCGTAAGAGGAAAGAAAAGTTACTACCTTCATTACCTGGAGTATTTGAATTTCTTTTGTGAAAGATAATTTTTTCTTTAAATTGCCTTGATAACATGATACAGTATTTTGCCGTGAGATTCACTTATAACCTATTATTTATTAACTCCACTAGCGATAAAAAATGATCCAAGGAAGCAAGTCATTTGGGAACTATAGTTTGTTTTTTTAAAGATTTTATTTATTTATTTGTCAGAGAGAGGGAGAGAGAGCGAGCACAGGCAGGCAGAGTGGCAGCAGAGGCAGAGGGAGAAGCAGACTCCCTGCTGAGCAAGGAGCCTAACGTGGGACTCGATCCCAGGATGCTGGGATCAAGACCTGAGCCGAAGGCAGCAGGTGAAGCAGCTGAGCCACCGGCGTCCCTATAGTTTGTTTTTATGTATAATCCTTAATGATGTATAAAGTATTTAACATCTTTTCTCCTATTTCATAGAACATTGGTGAGATAAAAGAAGCACCTTAAACAAAATCATACTTAGTCCAGCTTTCCTTTTTTTTTTTCCTTTCTTCCCCTATACCCTCTCCCCATTTCTGGCTTCTTCACCGTGTTCTCCTTCTTCTGTCCTGCATTTCTAGTATATGTCATCTCCTTCATTTTTCTGTTTCTGTATATAACATGACCTACCAAGATTAGACAATCCAATATTAATATTAACATGCAAATTGAACTAAAATATATGCCAGTGCTACAATTATGGTTTAAAACGGGTTGAGGGATAATCTGTAGTTACTTGGAAGATTTCTATTTAAATGGTTTGTTTATATGGGCACTTCTTGCTTTCCATGGTAGTGTAGGACCATAAAAATGACTTCAGGTTGAAATTGTGCAAAATAATCTTAGTCATTGGAGAAGATGTTCTGTGACATTTAAATTATTTTCTCAACACATTAAAAACATTGTTCGTTGTAAATGAAAAAAGTAGTAAAACTAATTTTAGTAAAAAATTGATAATGTGTATTACTTTGGTAAAGAATGTATTAAGAATAGTTTTAATAATACCTTCATGTATGATTGCAAGTGAGCATTCTTTTTATACCTTGGCAAATCATCATCATTCTAAGCTTGGATCACCTTCCAGCACTTTATTGCATTTCCAGTGTCATGAAGTATCCCTGCTTTTTTCTTTTTTTAATAGGATTTATTTTTTAGAGTTGTTTTGGGTTCACAGCAAAATTGAGCAGAAAGTGAATTCCCATATGTCCCTGCCACCACACAAGTTCACCCTCCCTCACTCACTATCAACAACTCCATTCCAGAGTGGTACATTTGTTACAGTCAGTGAATCTGCACTGACACGTAATAATCACCCAAAGTCTATAGTTTGCATTAGGGTTTGCTATTTGTCTTGTACATTCTGTGGGTTTAACAAATCTATTACAGTATGCAAAATAGTTTTGCTGCCTAAAAATTATCTATATCAACCTGTTCGACCCTCCTTCCCGATTCACCCCTCACAACCGCTGGTCTTCTTACTGTCTCCATAGTTTTGCCTTTTCCAGAGTGTTCTGTAGCTGAAATCACAGTTTGTAGCCTTTTCAGATTGGCTTCTTTCATTTAGTAATCTGCACTTGTGTTTCCTCTGTCTTTTCATGGCTTGATAGCTCATTTCTTTTAAGTGCTAAATAATATTTCCTTATTTGGAACACCACAGTTTGCTTAACCAACTCACTATAGAAGGAAGGGCATCTTGCTTCTAAGTTTTGGCAGTTATCAATAAAGTTGCCACAAACATCCATGTGCAGATTTTTCTGTGGCTTTAAGTTCTCACCTCCTTTGGGTAAGTACTAAAGAGCGTAACTGCTGGATCATATGGTAAGAGTGGGTTTAGTTTTATAAGAAACTACCAAACTCTCCCAAGGCATCTTTATCATCTCCCATTCCTGTCAGCATTGAATAAAAGTTCATTTTGTTTCACATCCTTACCAGCATTTGATGGTGTCAGTGTTTTGAAATTTTGCTATTCTTTATAGGTGTGTAATGGTAACTCACTTTTATTTGCATTTCCCTGGTGACACGACTTTGAGCATCTTTTCACATGCTTGTTTACCGTGTGTATATCTTCAATGAGGTGTGTCTGTTCAGATCCTTGGTCGGTTTTGTAACTGGGTTCATTTTGTTGGCTTCTAAGAGTTCTTTGTCTGTTTGGGGTATAGTCCTGTATCACATACGTCTTTGCAAGTATTTTCTGTGGCTTGGCTTCTCATTCTTTTGATCTCTGTTCTCTTAACGTGAAACTCTTTGGCAGTCTCACTTCCTCTGGAACATCACTTCTGTCACAGCCATTTTCCTCATTTCTGTCAATAAGCTTGCCAAGTTCTTCCAGCTACATCTCTGGAGCCCCTTGACCTGCAGCCGTCCGCTCTTGCCATTTTTGTGTGGTTTGCGTTTGGCTCCAGCATGGTCACTTTTCACGTCTTTATTGTACTTTCCTCTTTGTTGATGAGTTCCCTTTTCTGGTGATCCACTTAATAAAAAGTTCTGAGTGGGTTTATCACTGAGAAGCAAGTGGGAGAGGCAGCTACACACTGTGCTGCTGCTGAGTCACAGATGTGTGGTGACCAATCCCTAACAGACTTGCAAAGAGGTGATGTGATTGGTCACTGGTCATGACGGGCTTCTATTATTTACACAGTGATTTGTGGACCACGGAGCTAGCAGCAAAGTTAACACTTCATGCAATTACAGCTTAAGTCCAAACCATTTTGGGGGAAAATGTGTATGTTCCTTAACAATTGTGACTGAAATCCATGCATGTCAAAGCCCATGAAATGTGAGCCCTGCCTGTATTGTAAACTTTTTCCTCAGTTGTAAGTGATATGAAATTATTCTAAGGGAAAGGGGAAAAATAGGATGCTTGAAACTAAATGCCCTTCACCCCCCTTTTTTCCTTTTTTTTTTTTTTTAAGCAGAATATGGCAAAATTGAGAGACTTGGTGGGGCTGGGGAGGGGAGAATGTAGATTACATGGCAGGCTGATGTAGCTTCTCATCTGATGGAAGCCACGCTGCGAAGAACAATAAAGCTTAGAGGTAGCTCGCATCACCTAGAGTTTGGTTTGCGGCCTTTGTTGTATCCAGTCAGCAATGGCAGGAATGGCTTGAACTTTCTTCCGTAATGTTACCAACCTGGGATGGATATCCAGCAAGTCAGGTTTAAAGACCAAAAGTGTGGTACTGCAAATTTCCCAGTAGAAATCTGCCCAAGTTACCTAGTTTAAAGGAAACAAAAATTACCATTTGAACATAAAAGTCTAGCATAATTTTTAAATCAAGGATACTTTCTTTTTAATTCAAAATTACCCGTTAACATGAAAGTGGAATGCATATATGATAGAAAATGACAGATCACACCATGCTCCCAAAACCCGGAGGTTGCTGCATTAACACCTCTGTATAATGGTATTGTGTTTACGTGCATGTGTGTGTGTGTGTGTGTGCTACGATGAAATCTGACACCCTCATGTAACTTGACTCAATCTCTGCCTCTCCATGACAATACGTTGTTATCTAATATCTAGCCAATACTTTTTCATCTGTTCCAAAAATGTCCTTTAGAGGAAAAAGCAGAATCCATTCCAGAACATGCATTTCGTCTGGTTACACCCTTTAACTCCCTTTTACTAAAGACCTCACACTAGTCCTGAAGAACGTCCTGTGTTCAGGATTTGTGTATTTCATATTATTTACCTTGTTCTTTCTTTTGCAGAGTATAAAGGGATAGAGTGCAAGTTATCCTGAGAGAGTTCATAGGTGTAAGTTAAATATTCTTGACTAACACATTACCTCGGAAGACATGGGGTCTGAGCATTAGTGGATCCCCACTGTGATGACAGCCTGGTCCTACCCTTGTACGCTTTTCTTTGTACACTTGTTTCTTCCTTTGTGACTAGAAACTAATCTGGCTGACATTACTTTGACTCCAGATGATGAATACCCATCAAAGTGTGGAGTTTAAATGTGGGCTATCTGTAATTTTATTTTTGTATGGAACTTAATAATGCTAATTGCTAGTGATTTATGAACCTGCAAACTAAACACCTGTCAACCAGGAGAATTTATGGGTTCAAGGATTCAGAGTATAGTCAGCACAAATTTATGGTGTACCTGAGGTGTGCAATATGCAGGTCTATGTGCTGGGCTGGACTGGAGAGCATGATGGGACATGGGCCCTTTGCTGGGTGCACATTTGTTTTAGAAGCAGGAGACAAACATTTGTAAACTGGTAGGGATGATGAAGAAAAAGTGAAGTGATGGGAAGGACTCTCAGGTGGTCATAGAGGGAAGACCTCTAACATGTGACATTTAAACCAAGGCTTAAATGAGAACAGGATCCAGACAGGCAGTGGTCTGCAGATGAAGCCTTCTAGGCAGAGCGAACAGTGAGTATAAAGGCGCTTTAGTGGGAGCAAGACATGTGTTGGAGGAACAAACAAAACACCAGTGTGTGTGGAACACTGAGGAAGGGAGAGAGTGCTAAGAGATGGGGTCAGGAGGTAGTTTACAAAAGAGTCTTTATGGAAAACAAGGGGGAAATTTTTAAGTCCTTAGAAATTGTCCACTCAATGGAAGGGAGAAGAACATTTTAGGAAAGTCTATTTTGGGGAATCAGTGGGAGGAAATGAAGAGGCATGTGATGAGATTGAAAGTTGAGAATAGAGATGTGATAGCTAAGCATCCGTGTCACCCAGAAGGACTCAACAGACCGTGAAGAGAATAAGTCACAAGAGTGCTGCCCAAAGCAGTCTGTGTCTTGTCTCCCAAGAATGCAGCTCCTTGAAGGCACAGATACCAACCTACCACAACATCTGAGTCATGTTTAGATGTGAGTATTTGTCAGGACTCCATGGGTGGAAGTGTGCTCCTCTCTCTTGGCACCAGGGCTGTAATAGCTGGTTGTCTTGTTTTTTGTGATATTAACAATGATTAATCAATACCTCAGTCTGTTCCAACCATCAGGGGCTGGAAAATGGTGATAGTTGATTTAAATGTCCCCTTTTTACTTTCTAACTGGAATACTTATATGAAGAGGAAATTTGCCCTTCAGTTTGTATCTTGAGATACAATGGACATGAATCAGAAAGGCAACATAAATTCTTCATTCCAACCTCGCAACTTTCAAAACAGTTTTCAGAGTAATAAGTTGCTCCATGTCATCTTCCAAAAGTAAGCAATGAAGTTCTGTATCGTTTGGGGTTTTGCATGTATGTGTTTGTGTTTGGTTGTGGTGATAGGAGGGGACACCATAAACTCATGGATTCATTCATTTTGATTTGTTTCAATCCACTGCTGTTAAGATTCTTAGCAAAGCTTGAATTGTCCCATATTTAACCAGTGGAAGCCTCTTCAAGTTGACTTCTGAGTCCCCAGTTCAGTTGTCTTTGATAATTCATTTGCTTTGATATAAGGTACTTCCAGCTCATCTCCTAGATTTCCTGTCCCAAATTGAGAACAAGACATTTCTCCAAGAAGCCCTGATTCCTTTCCATATTTAGAGGCCAGATTCTGAGTCCTAGGGGTGCCCAGGACAACAGGGTTGGTCATTGTTTCAAGAAAAAGAGATACAAGGTGCTTTCTTCTTTATCTTAAGATACAGTCAGTACATCATGACCTTAATTGTGTGTATATATATATATATATATATAGAGAGAGAGAGAGAGAGAGAGAGAGATAGTTCATGTTCAGGAATAGGATGTTTACTTAACCTCACTGACCTTACATCTCTATCTTCTTTCTCTCATTCTGAAGATCCTGCTTCTCAGTGACATCTACATATTTTCTTACTGATTTACCTCATGATACTAATATCAGAAATACTAATAAAGCAATATGACTGTACCCAGAACCACCGAGAATAGAATTACCAGACTACTCAGTTTATTCCACTTTGCTTTATTGCACATCGCCGATGCTGCATCTTTTACAAATGCTTGTGGCACCCTGTGTTGAGCAAATCTGTCGGCTCTATTTTTCCAACAGCATTTGCTCACTTTGTGTCTCTGTGTCACATTTTTGCAATATTTCAAACTTTCATTATGGTAATCTATAATCAGTGATTACAACTCTGAAAGCTCAGATGATGGTTAACATTTTTTTAGCAATAAAGTATTTTTAAATTAAGATATGTACATTGTTTTTTTAGACATAATGCCATTGCACACTTAACAGATCACAGTGTCATGTAAACATAACTTTTATAGATACTGAGAAACCAAAAAATCCATTTCATGTGATACTTTATTGCTGTGGTCTGAAACAGAACCTATAATCTCTCTCTGATGTATGCCTCTACTAAAAATGGTATAAGTTTTCTATTTTTTTTGGTTCTGAGAGAATATTTATAAGATGTATAGTCAAATGACTGTGTTTTAAGATGGTTTTCTTGAAACAGTTCCCCTCACTAATTGAGTAATAGGTACTTCTCTACACACTTTGTGCATCAATTTTAACATAGGTTCATTTGCTTCACTTTGCAGTGTTAGCTTTTCAAAATACTTTTGTTGTTGCTTTTATGTAATTATATAAACTATTTTAGTTCATAGTTCCAAAATTAAGTCCACCAAAATAGGTTTATTCAAAGAGCTTTAGGTTTTATCCCTGCTATCTAATCCTTCCTTATGGGTAACTTTTTTTTCCTCCATGAGTCTTTGTAAGTTTTTGGTTATACGACCGTGTATGTGTCTATACTTGTATTTTTTAAGATTGTAAAACATACTCACAGAGTTACCAACAAGCCACTCCTTTTCCCCTAAGTATGCATCCAAGTCTTGCAGCAGATGAGGTCCATCATATGTAAGTAGCTCATTAAACATCTGATTCTAGGAGAGGAAGAAGAAAGATCACTTTAAGGATACTAGGGGAAAAAAATAACACAATTTGAAAAGGAAGTAGAGGGAGGCCTGGGTGGCTCAGTCGGCTAAGCGTCTGCCTTCTGCTCAGGTCATGATCTCAAGGTCCTGGGATTGAGCCCCACGATCCGGCTCCCTGCTAAACCAGGAGCCTGCTTCTCCCTGTACCTGCTGTTGCCCCTGCTTGTGCTGTCTGACAAATAAATAAATAAAATTTTTAAAAAAATAGAATTCTCACTTAAAAAAAAGGCAGATTTTTCCATCTTTATTCTCCTACATGAATTCAGAAAGAAAGAGAGGTAGCTATGTGTTCTTGGTTGTTGGTTGTTGGTTTTTTTTTTTCCAAATGTATGTTATTATGGAGAATGAGGTCTGATTCTTTATACTTAGTCAACTGTGTGTTGCTCATGGATTAAAAAATACTTTTGTGACCCCTGCTTACAGTTTCTTTGTATTTAATGGCCAAATATTTCACCCACAAAGTCTTTTCATGATTTCCATCTTAATGTTTATTAAGAAAAAATGATTCCATTATGTTTTACATTTCCAAAATTATCCTCACTCTCTTTGAATGGAAATAATATAACTGAGGGTAAAGAAATTAATTTTACTTTGTAAGGGTAGGCTTCTTCAGTTTGGCAGTCTTTTACCGCACCATTGCACTTAACAGAAATCATCTATGTAATGACTCCTTATGCTCTCAGGCTTTATGGATCTTTTCTTGTTGGCTTGACATTGTGCCTTAATATGAGGTTTGTCTGCCTTGAGTATCATCTACAAAAACCATCAACTAGGTGCCCTCTTTTGATATATTATGTAAGGTAACATAAACCAAATATCCTTAGGGAAAAATTAACAGATATATCCATTTTTTAAAATTGTGTTTTTCCTCAAATCTCTGGAAGACAATTTATTCATGACCTCTTTCTTTGTAAGAACTGTTGTTTATATATGAAAATTCTGGCTGGTGTGTGTCTTGGATATGAAATGTAAGCCAAACTCAAAAATATCATAAAATATGTGTATATATATTATTTATTAATAATGAGAAATGACCTATAATAAAATCCAGCCTTTATTAAGGCAATTCAGGTAGTGGATAGTTCCCTCACCAACGTGCTGATTATTTCTGTTATTTCTATATTTCTGTTATTAGTATAACATAGCTAGGTAATAAAGATTACTGCCACATAATGCCTGGTTTATAGGACAAAGTTTACAAAAAAACATCATTACATATTTACATACATTTGCCTGATTTTACACACTGAGACTTGGGAAGCTTGTCATTATTTTGATTTATATTCTTTCCACTGTTCTATACCACCTACATTCATAAGGTTCTTTTTCTATGTTTAATATGTTCATAGTTTAAAACAAAACAGTGTGAGTTCTTACACATAATTTGTGAGCAAAGAGGCAGTGGGCCCGGATCCATGTGGTACTTCCCACAGCCCAGCTCAGCTCGGCCTCAGGTAGGAAGGTGAAGGCCAGTTTGGCTCTCCTAGACAAGCTAGAAATGGAATGGAGTTGAATGGAACAGGATGTAGCTGCTGGACAGATTCCCAAAACATTTGTGTGCTTACCTGTATATTTTATTACTTCTTCTAATGTGCATTTCCACCACTTAAGGTACACGTACACAGATGCTTGTGCATACCCAATGCCAAATAAAAATCTTTTCTCTGTATTGACTTCTGTAGCCCAGGTTCTCTATATGTTTGGTGAATCATCCCAGTGATTCATCTCATCTAATGATATATAAATTACTAACCAATGTAATTGTTAGTATTTAAGAGTCATTGTAAAGAGTACTCACCAAAATAACATAAAGAAGATGAAATTTGGTTATACATCCTTTTTTCCAGATATGTACTTTTAAAAACTGCATTTCTTGATAAATCTTAGCTAGCCACTCTTAAACTCGGTAAACTCAGAAATTTCCTCCCTCTTCCTCCGGAGAGCTGTAAGTCAGGAGGTTTTTCAACCTGAGAAGTCAATGCTACTGTATCCTATCAAATGACTTTCAGAGAAATTATGTTTCTCCAAAGCACCATTTTAAAATTCATACTACCAAAATCGTTTAGTATTGAAAATGTGTCACTGGCATTTCTTTGATCCTGCTCATCCATCATCCTCCCTGCCCCAGTCTTTAGATGGGGAAACTGAAACAGAGAGGTTGAATAACCAGAGAAACACTAGTGGTAAATTCAAGGATTATCAGGGTGACCAGTGTCCACAAACATATTTTGCCTTCTAAATTAATTTTAATTTTTTTAAATTGGAAATGGAATTTCTAGCAACCGATACTGAAATATTTATAATTATGTGTATCTGGTAGATTTTTAGGGCACGTATAATAAGAGGACTATGTTCACCATCCATCTTCACTATTACCCATATCCTGCTGTTAAAATTTTGATCTGACCACAAGGTGGCAGCAACGCGACCCACTACAGGGAGGCTGGGTGAAGAAATGTACTAAAACTATGGAGGTTTTCTGTTGTATACTAGCCAGGTCCTCCTTATTAATCAGATAGTATATAGCCAACTGCACTATTTCTGCAACGTGTTCTCCCTTCATATGATTTATTTATAAGCTTGGATTATGTCCTGTGATTTTTTTTTTTTTTTCCGAGATGGGCATGTAAGAGCAGTGTTACTCTAATACAAAAGTAGAGTGTTACTGGTATCATAAGCATTCAAAGAGTATTTTCCTCTGGGAGGTAGCCTCTATTATAGGAGGCTCACCCACAGAAGGGTACAAAATAGCAAAACGCAATCCCGTAAATTGACAGACTGCCAATCAGTGGGGTCTTTAGCATGTGAAACAAAAAGCTTTAGATCCGTTTTTCTAAATTGGACATTATGTCTCTACTTGTTTCTGCATTTATAAGGATGTGTAAAATACAAATACCATGTCTGACAAAAGGAAAAACAATGAGCAGAGAACTATATAATAACACTATTAATTATATATATGAATAGTTATTAACATATTAGATGATATAATTATAATATCTAATATTTGTTGAACACTTTCAACCTAGTCATAGGTACTCATGCTAACATTTAATCCTCCCAACTTACTTCAAAGTAGATTCTATGGTATCTCTACTTTACAGACAAAGAATCTGAACTATTGGTGGGTAGTTATGTGACAGCTAGGAAGAAGGGAATCAGAATTCAAGCTTGGCAGTGTGACTCCAGAGCCCGAATATATTGCCATATCAAAGCTGAGCTTTTATCTTAGACTTTGCTCTGGTTAGTCATATATTTGTGTGTGTGTGTGTGTGTGTGTGTGTGTCTGTGTGTGCGCGCACGCGCATGACACACCTTACATTCAGTAAATGTGAATACTTTTCTGTTCCAAGTATCTCTATTAAAATTAGAAGTTTCTAATTAAAAGAGTAGTATTTAGCATAAATACATTTTAGCAAATTGATAAGACTGCCATTCGTTCTGTGCTGTAACTTTCGACTGTCGGCCTTAAACTACACCACATACATACGTATTCACCAGCTATTGGCACTGTGACCTTACAACCAGTGGTTGAGAGCATGGAGACTGAGTCAGAGTGGCTGGGATTCAGATTCCTTGTGTACCACTTCCTAGCTGAATAACCTTCAACAGGTTTCTTCTACTACATGAACCTCAATTTCCCCATCTGGGAAAAAGAAGGTAATAGTTTCTCCCTGAGGGATGCTCTGGTTATTAGTCACTAATTTAAAAGGAAGTATGCGGAGGTGATGAGGCCATGGGTCTGGGCAACTCCATAACCACTCTGAGTCTCAGTTTCTTCATCTGCAAAGTAAGCATGATGATAGAAAGCGTGTATCTAGTGAAGGGATTGGGAGGACTGGCTGAGGCCATGGGTGTAAAGGGGCCGGAGCAGCATCTGTTCGTGCTGTTGGAGAAATCAGCTCTTGCTGCCTGTCGTTCAACAAGTATGTAGTGTCTGCGGTGTGAAAGGCAGAGGGGTGGGTGTGGGAACATGAGTGAGCAGTACAGACATAATTACTACCCTCACGACACATTCTCCTGGAGGAGAATTAAATGTATTTTAAAATACAGATTGTGATGCATGCCCCCAGGACACCACTAGGGGGTGGTAATGGAGCATAACCTACAAGGTCTATTTAGAATTCTGGATAAAGATGATGGATTTGGCACACATATGTGATTTTTTCATCCCCAAACCACAGTAAATACATATTTTTGAAAAGACAGAACCCACAAAGAGGTGGAAAACAGGAGAGGAGACAAGAGAAAAAATTCAAAGTTATAAAGCAAATGGATGACTGGTATCTGCAAAGGGAAAGCTGAAAACCAACACCGTCTACCCCATAAAACCCTCAAATGTTTCAGGAAAAGGCAGGATGTATCTAGAATTGGGAGTAAGGAGGTAAGGGAGAGGATAACGTGAGGACTGGCGGAAGGCTGCGGAAGAGGTAGTTTTAGCATAAGAGTTCGCTCTTCATTTTACACTGCTTGACACATGCCTCTTCCCCATCTGTAGCAGAAGGCTGGAGAGGGGGAAATTAGTGGTCTGTGTGTTGGGAGCTGACATTCATAATGTTTTCAAAATAGGGGATTAAATGAATATATGCATACTGAGCACCAAGTTCTGAGACTTGTAGCCCTCTCTTTGCTGATCGTTTCCCAGAACACTGGCAGACACACCTTTCTTTCCAGGCAAAAGGTCAGAAGTCTTCTCTAGATACTCTTTCTAGTAAAGAGTTTAGTAAAGATAGTGATATGGGAAAACACTCCACAAATGGCCTAGTGCTGCTCAAAATCAACATACCCTGTCCATCTACTGAGAACTTTGGGTAAGCTTCTTAATTTTCCTATTCTTTATCATGGATTCTAAAGGATGGTTTTACTCCTGGAGAAAGATGAAGACCAAACCAAAGAGCAAAAATATGAGGGGCACCTGGGTGGCTCAGTCATTGGGCGGCTGCCTTCAACTCAGGTTGTGATCCCAGGGTCCTGGGATCAAGCTCCACATCAGGCTTCCTGCTGGGTGGCAGGCTGGCTTCTCCCTCTCCAACTCCCCCTGCTTGTGTTCCCTCTCTAACTATGTCCTTCTCTGTCAAATAAATAAAAATCTTTTTTAAAAAAAGAAAAAGAAAAATATGGAAATAAAGACTACAGGATGACAACGGTGCACCAGGTTTTTAGGGTGACCAAACCAGACTGAAGCAGTGTACACTCAAGACAGACACATCAGTGCTGTCCGTCATCATTACACCTCTTGTCATCAAGCCTTCATTTTAACTGTGGGATTCCTGGAGGACAAAGAAGTAAGCAAGGACAGAGGATGGTATCCAGGAAATAGGACCCCAACTCAAGAGAAGGACATCCCTGGGATGGCAGTGAAGGCAAGTCCAGTGGGGACAGATGTGCAGAAAACCCAGACAGCTCTGCAAAAAAGAGGAGATCTTGGCCAGATCTCTCCAAGAAAATGGTGGACGTAATGGGTAATCTGATACCATTGACCTTGTGGAAAGCTATATTGGCGGTCTACTGGACGGTGTGGGAGGGTTCAGCAATAAACGTAAAAACAAGCACATGAAGGAAAGGCAATTACTAATTTTGAGGAGATAGAGTGAGCAAGGAAATGAAAAAGTGTACTACAACTGACAGTTCTGTATGATATTTGCCTAGCATACTAATGTAACATTATATCAATTTGGCCAAAACATTTTAATATCATTATATTAAGAGTTTGGGAGAAGGGGAGCCTAGACAATGACTACATAAGAGAAAAATTCTTATTACTATAATAATAAGTCCAGAGAAACTAAAATTAGTGAATCAAAGAAAACCAGATTCACATGTCCTAAAGAAATAGTTAAAAGTGTTAATAAAAAAGTATTAAAAAGTGTCTGAGGAGGGGTTAATGTGAAGAGGTAGAGCAAGGAATCGCCTTATTTTCTTCTAAAGTTTTAAATATAATTTGATATTTTAAAACTATAGGTATGTCTTACTTTGGTAAAAAGAAACCTTTTCTATAAAAGATTTGTTTTAATTGGAGAGAGCAAGCAAACATGAATGGGAGGAGGGAGAGAGAAAGAGGGAGAAGCAGACTCCCCAGTGAACAGGGAGCCCAACGCAGGGCTGGATCCCTGGGCTGAAAGCCTCTGCTCAACTGACTGAGCCACCCAGATGCCCGATAAAAAGAAACTTTAAAGCACCCCACAAGTAGATATGATTAATAATAGTAATAACAAAGTGATCACATTACTTTTATATCTTGTTTTTTCTCTGCCCAAGGAAAACGTGACATGAAATCGTCCAATGTGTCCACAATTGCATCAACTTGACATTGTTCCAATTCTGTTTTTCCAGCCAAATCTATAAAATAGAGACCATTTTATGCCCAGACATACACTGGATTTAATTTACTATATTAAAATGTTTACTTCTTAAAAGACAATATATTCTTATGGTTCAAAAATTCAGAACAATATAAAACTGTATCCAGTGAAGACCAACTTTCATCCCTGCCCAACCAATCTCATTGGGCTCCTTAATCTACCTACCATGTTGGTAACCACTCTATTAGAGTTTTTACGTAGTCTTCCATTATTTATTTATGAAAATAAAGCTATATTTCCCAATCCATATACACATCCCCCATATATCCTACAGATCTTTCCCTACAAGTTTGTTAAGGGCATCTCTGCTCTTTTTTTCAGTTACATGGGATTCCTGTAAGAAGAAGTGCCACAATCCATCTAGCTAGCCTCAATTGATTAGGTTTGTTTCTTTCGTATCTTTTGTTTCATTCTTTATACTATATTGTTCAATAATAAAGTTATTTAATAAATAGTGAATATAAGTTACGTATTCTTCTCAGTTATCAAAACTCTTCAACACAATAAACATATTACCTGTGTTTTTGGCCAAGTATCGTGCTATGGCTAGACTCTGGTGAAGGTTAAATCCATCGACTTCCAAAATGGGGATTTTACCAAATGGAAGAGCTTAAAATAAAATAAGCAAAAAATCAACTTCTGTAATAAAATCAAGTAATACTATTTCCCATTTTTACTGATAATTATGGAAACAAAGCATGATTTTAAAGTTATGGTATTCCTGAATATTTGTTCTAAAAGGGACAATAGACACCCTCTAGTGGAATCTTTATAGGTCTTTTAGAAGAAGAGTTGTTAGAAAACCTTGTACAGAGTTCATGGCAGCACCAGGTCTAAAAGTGTTTGTTAATGATACTGCATATTGTACTGTGTATTACCTCATAGACTTACATATACTCACTACTTACTTTTTAAATAAACCTTTTTTTAAAGCTTCATTAATTTTTGTGGTCTCAATCAACTATAACATTGATTGTTCCTTAAAACCATAGGCCGGGGTGCCTGAGTGGCTCAGTGGGCTAAGCGTCTGCCTTCAGCTCAGGTCATGATCCCAGGGTCCTGGGATTGAGCCCTGCTCAACAGGGAGCCTGCTTCTCCCTCACTCTCTGCTCCTCCCCCCTACTTGTGCTCTCTCTCTCTCTCTCAAATAAATAAATAATCTTAATAATAAAAAACTTAAAAAATAAATTAAAAATTAAAAAATCAAAAAATAAATAAATAAATAAATAAATTTTTTAAAGATGAAGAAATGGACACAATAGCCAAACTATGGAAAGAACCTAGATGTCCATCAACAGATGAATGGATAAAGAAGATGTGGTGCAAATATACAATAGAATACTATGCAGCCATCAAAACACGAAACCTTGCCATTTGCAATTACATGGATGGAAGTAGAGGGTATTATGCTGAGTGAAATAAGTCAATCAGAAAAAGACAATTATCATATGATCTCTCTGATATGAGGAATTTGAGAGGCAGGGCAGGGGGTCATGGGGGATTGGGAAGGAAAAAATGAAACAAGATGGGGTTGGGAGGGAGACAAACCATAAGAAACACTTAATCTCACAAAACAAACTGAGGGTTGCTGGGGGGTTGGGGGGAGTAGGGAGGGGGTGGTTAGTTTATGGACATTGGGAGCATTTGTGCTATGGTGAGTGCTGTGAATTGTATAAGACTGATGATTCACAGACCTGTACCTTGGGGCAAATAATACATTATATGGCAATTTAAAAAAAGATGAGAAAATGGAGAGTTTGATTTATATATTGAGCTACGGTAAGGAATTTAGCCAAATTGTTATTTTGATGAGGGACCATGTGAAGTATATAGTAAGACAGCAAGAAATTTGTACAATACAGGGCAGCCCCACTGCAGATGTTAATAACATTTTGTCTATAGACCCTACTTTGTTTTCTTATCTAGACTTACCACATTTTTGTCAGAGGGTAATATACGTTTTTATAGAAAAATTCTAACTTGAAGATAAATAAAAATAATTCTACCACATAATTATAACCATTTGAATATTTTAATTGATTTCTCATATATATTTAAAAACAGCATCCTGAAGTATTTGTAAACCAATTTTTATCTGATAACATCTTTTTGAAATCTTTCCAAATCAGTGAAACATTACCTTTTTAATGACTACATTATATTTCGTTATATGTATTGATCACAATTTTCCAACCAGTGCTTTACTTTGGGAAATATAATTATTTTGGGAAGAGAGAAAAGAACAAAGTGCCACTACACAGTCCCATTACTCTAGAGCAACTACCAGAATCAACCTCCAAGTGTCTTTCGTATGTACGTTAACTAAGTACAAGATGAACTACAGTTCACATCAGGAATAACATCATCTCTGAGTACTTACCTAATTAGTATGCCGAGTACTAGTCTACATTGCAGTGAGTAAACAGAACTCCAAAGACAGCTGACACAAATTGTGATGCCTCATGATTAGGAATTAACATTTAACATTTTGAGGGAGGCCTCCTTTATGCTAGGCAGTGTACTAAATATTTAAAGTACCCATTAGGTTTTCTAGTACTTCCAACAACCCTATGATGTAGGCATCAACCCTTATCTTATTTTACAAACGAGAAAGTGAGGTGAAGAGAGGTTACATAACTAGTCCAGGTCACATCCCTGGTAAAGGTGAGACTCAGACTGAATTCAGTTGGAAATTTTGCTCAGCTGTTTTGATAGGTCTAAGAGCCATGTTTTAAGAATACATTAAAAATCAGAGCAGGGTGCCTGGGTGGCTCAGTAGGGTAAGCCTCTGCCTTGGGCTCAGGCCATGATCTCAGGGTCCTGGGATCGAGCCCCGCATCAGGCTCTCTGCTCAGCAGGGAGCCTGCTTCCTCCTCTCTCTCTGCCTGCCTCTCTGTCTACTTGTGCTCTCTCTCTGTCAAATGAATAAATAAAATCATAAAAAAAAAATTAGAGCAAACCCAGAAGATAGTATCCAAGTTAGAGAAGGGTCTGAAAAGCACATTTTATAAGCACCGGCTGAAGAACTTGGCATTCTTTCCTGGGGAAGGCAAAACAAACAAAGACAAAACAAATGTAATGCCCATCTTCAAATATGGTAGAGCTATCAAATGGATGAAAAATTTGACTTATTCTTACTATCTCTAAAGTGCAGAACAACAACTAAAAGATACTTTAAAGGGGGCAGATATTAACTCAAGATGAAGAATAATTTTTTAATGTTGGAACCACTGACGGCAAGAATGTGTTTTCCTGTGAGACCGTAAGCTTTCAGCTACTAGCAGCATTTGAAACCAAGCTTGGGATAATTGCCGACATCTGGAATATTGCGCATCTAACAAGAAGAAATTGAACAAGAAGAAAATGCCAATCCTTCATTTTGTTCCAGAAAACATAACTTTGGGGTTGTTGGAGATGTAACCAGACAGGAGTCCCTGTCAAACAGCTTTAAGGAATTTAGTGACGCCGAATGTAAGGCTGTGCGGTGCAGCTGCCTAAAGAACCACAGTGACCTTGGTGAGATGGCTTTGGATGGTATCCAGACCTGTGCTAGGAGTGGTATTCCCACCATGCGCTCCGTCGTTCCCAGGCCTGGATCATTGCAATTCCCCAGACACCACACATTACGTGGCAGACATAAGTGGAACAGGAGCTTGTCCTTCTTGGGTGATGAGGAAATCCAAACCAAAGGATATAAATGGATCACTCAAAGAAGAGAAGTGTGTCGTCCCTTGGACCTACCTTGCGGATCGGATATAGTCCATGAGAAACAATATCTAAATCAAGAAGTAGAGCCAGGACTGGGAAGTTTGGGCTGATAATCACAATGATCATCAGAGAAACAAGCAAGTTCTAAAACTTGATAGCCAGAGGGATGGATGCATGAGTTAACAGGGACTCCGTTCTGTATTTAGCCCATGACCCTTATCTTCCCTCAGGGTATTATCATTGAACTGTCTACACAGCAGTGGCTTTTTCTCTATGTCTTAAAGATACTAAATTGCTTCAAAGAATTGGATGGAAAGAAGGAATAATCTGTTTCCTATGGATTAAAATGTTATGTCCAGGACTAGTATATGAAAGTCACTGAAGAGATAAATTTCAATTTTATGTAAGGAAGAGTCTTTTGAAAGTTTTCCTCCTTTCTTCCCAGAATTTCGCTGAGACATTGGACACCCTAAGGTTACTGAGTCTCAATTTTTCTAATCCCTTTTCTTTTATTTTTTATTTCTCTTTCTTATTGTACTTTCTGGAGGAGTTCCTTACTTTTTATCATTTTTTTAATTTCATTTGTTTTGTCTGTATCAAATTGTTAATTTTCAAAACCTTTTTGTCTCTAAACATTCTTTTTTACAGCATACTAGTTCAGAATGTATAGAGTTTTTCTCTCTGAGGGTCTTATATTTTTTAAGTTTTTTTCTTCCTACATCATCCTGTTGCCCTCAGATGATTTTTTTTTCTCCCTCCGCATCTTTGTTTATGTCTGTTTCACATTAGAGGCCTTCTCACAAATATCTATTAATTTTTGGTTTGCCCTTCCTGTTTTAAATAAGCAAAAGGAATAGAAGCTAATTGGAATCTTGGTGTACTGGGCCATGTCATGGAGACTCCCTCTGGGTTAGTGTCTGTTAGACATTCCTCTGGGACTGATCAGCTTCCCCCGAGAGAACCCTTCCTGCCCAGGGGATACTTGTCTGGTTGTAGCATTCTGATTGTGGAGCAGAGGATAAGGGCTCTGGGTCTCACGCTTTAGTTTGTAGCCTTCCACTGAGTCCCACCTATAGGACCGTGTGCTCAGAAATGCCTGCTGTCCTACAGTCCTCTGGTCCATCCTTTGTTGAGAGTAATCTCCATACTTCTCCCAGGGCAGTCATGCTGCTGCTTCACATGGTAACAGTCAGCCCTCTGTGGATTCGGCTTTTAGAGTTCAATGTCACTACCAATTCCTGAGCCTTGGTCGGTACTCCCTGGAGTGATTCAGCTTGACTTCTACTCTACCAGGCTTATATTTGGGCATCATTGGCCTACTTCGTCACCTTACCATTCTTGGACCTGTTTTCCAGCTTTGAGAATTTGGGGCTTATTCAAGCTTGAGGTCTTTGTCCTTGTAGAGCTTTGCCATATTTTTTTAAGAAGAAGTACTTTAATGTTATTTGAAAAGAGAAAAAAATGTTAATACCTGTGCACATTCCACCAGGTTTGACCTGGAAGAACTTTTTTAAAAAAGATTTTATTTATTTATTTGAGAGAGAGAGACAGAGAGAAAGAAAGCATGTGCATGCTCAAGCAGGGGGAGGGGCAGAGGGAGAGGGAGAAGCAGGCTCCCCGCTGAGCAGGGAGCCTGACGAGGGCATGAGGGGCTCAATCCCAGAACCCTTGGATCATGACCTGAGCCATAGGCAGATACTTAACAGACTGAGCCACCCAGGTGCCCCAACCTAGAAGAATTTTTAATAGAAATATCCAGTGATACTCTAGGTTATCACAGAGGGGAAGTCATAGAGGGTTTCAAATACCAGAGAGCACTCCTAAATCAGATAAGAGATGAGGCCAGCTAAAATTTGTAATAAACTGTTTTTAACATTTAGTTTTTCCTTTTTTTCTCAAAGCAATAAAGTCAGCACTTCCTGGCTTTCCTTGCAGTAGTGTGTGAAGAAGTTCTTGCCAAGGGGCTATAAGCAGAAGTGAGGTATAAAACTCTCTGGTCATGCAGTTGCAAGAAAGAGATGTGCCTCTTTCCCTCTCACACTTCCTGTGAGCTGGAATGTGGAAGGAGACGGGACCATCTTACACTATGTAAATAAGAACCAACTCAGGGTGGCGGATCAACAGAAAAGAAGGAACCTAATCTTTGACAACTCTGTGGAGCAGAACTTCCACATCAGCTTGCGATTATATGCAAAAGAAATAAATTTCTATCCTCTTTAGTTCATTTTTGTGTTGGGTGTCTGGTATTTGTTTTTGTTTCGTTTTGTTTTTAATTTAAATTCTAGGTAGTTGACCTACAGTTCAATATTGGTTCAGGAGTAGCGTTCAAAGGTTCATCATTTACATACAGCACCCAGTGCTCATCATCACAAGTGCCTCCTTAATCCCTCATTACCCATCTAGCCCATCCCCCACCCACGTCCCTCCATCAACCCTCAAATCTTCTCTGTCATTAAGAGGCTCTCACGGTTTGTTTCCCTCTCTTTCTTGCCTTTTTATCCCCTCCCAAATGTCCATTTTGTTTCTTAAATTCCACTTATGTTGGGTGACTGTTAAAGCATTGGAGATATATATATGTATATACATACATATATATATTTATCTTCTAACCATTGTGAACTTTAAGATCCCTTCCCACTCTAAGAATCTATGAAAATACAGTAATTCCATTTTCAATAACATAATGAAAAGTCAAGATAGAATAGGGTATGAGGCACTCAAAGAATTTATATCTAAAATTGAGAAGGTGGAATTTGTTATATGTACCATCTTTGCAGCTTGTTATCCATCTTAATTAATGGATAAAATTAAATTTCACCTACTTTATATAGACAGAATTAAAAATCCTGTGTACAAATTCTGATAGCAGGGTTTGGAAAGTTTGGATATTAATGAGAAAGTTTCATGAGAACAGGAAATAAGATATTCTAGCCCACTAGGGAAGAGTTCTCTAATAAGCAAAAGAGTGGATTTTTAAGGAACTCATTCTTCTAAAAGGCATGTGGCAATATGTATTGTTAATATGCCACTTATCATTGGTGTTATTGGCATTATCTAGTGTAAATAACTTGGGTAACTGTATGAAATTGACCTGTGTTTGAAAAATATTTCTACCTTGCTAGGACTGTAAGCCTGGAAAAATTACACAAATTCTGTGTGCTATAGTTAACCCAACTATAAAATAGATACAATAATATATCTCATGAAGCCGTACTGGAGAAATTAAACGAAATCCGCCAGGGGCTCAAAAGTCTTCAAAGACTCAAGTTGTTTTCTTCAGCTTTATCTTTATGCAAATCTGTAATAATCCCAACACAAATATGTGACTTTTAGACAAATAATTAATATTTAGTTAGTATTTCTAGGCAGACATGATGGACAAAGAATTAGCTCATCTATCCTTTCTTCATTCTAAAAAAGATAAAAAACGAACACCTGGAGGATGACTTACAACTTACTGAGAGCCACACACTTTTTAACATAATAATATTTCTGATCCTTCCCCTCTGTCCTCAGTGCTAACTAGTATATTTTCATTGGATCAAACATCCCAGTTTTGTTCACATATTCACCCTTCAGTCATATACTTTATGAAAAGTGATTCCAAACCAACTTCTGAGGTAGACTAGATGGTTCAAGGTTCTTCCTATTTGCTTGGTCAGTGACTGGTTCAGAAATGGACATGTGACCCCGTCTGAGTCAGTGAAACATGACAAGTTTGCCAAGGTCTTCTGGGAGTTTGTTTGTTTGTTTGTTTCATTCTTCTGGGAACACTTTTTTTTTTAATCTTTTTTTTTTTTTTCAGCATAACAGTATTCATCGTTTTTGTACCACACCCAGTGCTCCATGCAGTCCGTGCCCTCTCCAATACCCACCACCTGGTTCCCCCAACCTCCCACCCCCCCCACCTCTTCAAACCCTTCAGATTGTTTTTCAGAGTCCATAGTCTCTCATTGTTCACCTCCCCTTCCAATTTCCCCCAACTCCCTTCTCCTAACTCCCCATGTCCTCTTTTGGGAACACTTAAGGAAACAGTGCTCTCTCTCTCTTTCTCATATACCTCTTGATGTTACTGTTCAAGGCTGTTGGGCAGAAATTGCCGCAAACTTATTGCTACTAGTCTCATGATGCTGCCAACACACAGAGGAGGAAAAATGAATAAAGTCATCTCTTGAAATCTGTCCTATTTCTGGATTTTCAGTTAAGTGATACAATTTTCTTGTTATTTAAGCCACTTTGAGTTTGGTTTTCTGTTAGAACAGTGTATCTGATCCCTTGTCAGAAGGCTGGAGATATCTGTAGTAAGCCCATCCATTTGAATTGTCAAGAATACTCACTTCAGTATTCTCTCTTTCAGCTCTCATGACAAAACTTATTGTTTATCTCTCTATATTTCTTCTGTGAGGTTTGTGTTTTCACCTTGAATAGGAAAATTTGGGGTACATAGCATTTATTTAACTTGTCTGAACTGCTGCTTCTCAATGTAAAGCAACATGAGATTTAAAACCTCTATTTTTTCATTTCCCTAAGGAAAAACAGAAAGTTTTGGAGACATATTTTCCCTACATTTTCATTAACTGTTACTTGTGACACTTACTTGATTTGACTTCAGGCCAATCAGCTTGTTCTATTCTGTGGTCTTCATATTTTATGTCCAAATAAGCAAATATGTAACGGATAATTTCCGCTCTCCCCCTCATATTAAAATAAATGAGTTTGTAGTTTGGCATGGTGTGATTCTGGAAAAGGAAAAATTGGAAGATTATTTTAACAGACCTCTAGAGATGTTTCATCAACATTTTCCTTTGGGGACTTTTTCAAAACTTCATGGCATCTTTTTTTTCTTTTAAGATTTTGTTTATTTGACAGAGAGAGTGAGAGCACAAGCAGGGGGAGCAGCAGGCAGAGGGAGAACCAGGCTTCCAGGGAGCCTGATGAGGGGCTCAATCCCAGGACCCTGGCATCATGACCTGAGCCAAAGGCAGACACTTAACTGACTGAAACACCCAGGCGCCCCCATTCATGCCGTCTTTTGAGGTAACTGGAAATATTAGAGAATATTTCAAGACCTGAATCCTAATAACATATGGGAAAAACTTGACAGAAATAAGATCATGACTCTCTCTTTAAGAACTAGCAGAATGGGGCACCTGGGTGGCTCAATCTGTGTCTGCCTTTGGCTCAGGTCATGATCTCGGAGTCCTGGGATCAAGTCCTACATCAGTCTTCCTGTTCAATGGGGAATCTGCTTCTCCCTCTCCCTCTGTCCCTTCCTTCCATAGGTCCTGCTCTTTCTCTCTCTCAAATAAATTAATAAAACCTTAAAAAAAAAAAAAAAAAAGAACTAGCTGGAACATTCCAGTGAAATAACCAGACTCAAATTTTACTTATGAAAGAATTCATAGTGGGAGACTATCTATACACCAACCATCAGAGGATAGCGTCCAAAACTTTCCATTTTAAGCTGTTTTTGTCCTGCCTTTACTCACTTGTAATTTGGCATTTGGTTTATTGTTTGCTTTGGTGACACAGATGAGTTTGTGAGGACAGCTGGATAAAGATTTCAAGAACAAGGTTATGTGCAAGGGGAATGTGAGCCAGCTTTGCCAACCCGAGCTGGCTGTCCCCTCTCTTCTCTCATCCCTGGCATTTCCCTCTGGGAATCAAAGACTTAGGGAAACATTGCTCTTACTCTCTCTCTCTCTCTCTCCGCCTCCATGCTGCTGGGTTCTATCAGGTTGCTAGCACCATACAAACATAGCCCATCTGGGTGACCTTTGCTGGGAGGGGCAATGGTGAGCCTATATCTCTATTTCTTCCGTAGGGGAGCAAGGAAGACAGAAAGCAACTTCTCTTAAATTTCAGAGTTTGCTAATAGTGGTTATATTGGGCAGCTGTCAGTCTTTATAATCTTTTGAATTTTCTGTGATTTGTTTCATCTCATGTTCATAGTTTATAAACACTTAAAGATTTTAAGCAATAGTAATAGCATGTATTGTAATTTTATAATGATCCGGCAACTGAGAAAGAAACATTTTCACTTGAAATTGAGCTCTTCCACTTAGTTGCTATGTATCTTTGGGCTAATGAACAAAATCTCTCTGAATTTCAAAGTCCACTTCTTGTAAATAGAGATACTAATATGGATTTGGAGACTTAATGAGGTAATACACGTAAAGCATTTAACACAATGCTAAGCACTTAATAATTATTAGCTATTGGCAATAATAACTTTGGATTCATTCTATGGTCAAGAATAAACACTGTGAATACAGTACACCACAAATAAAAAATAACTGTAGTAATTACATGAATAGAAATTTTACGGCATTATTTTTAAGTGGTAAGTATAAATAGTTCATTCTCTGCTAAGGAAGTCTTTCAAAGATATAAAAGGAACATTAGAAAGAAAAGTTGAGCTGAAATTTCAAAATTCTATCTGAAAGTACATCACAGGGATGCCTGGATGGCTCAGTCAGTTAAACTTCTGCCTTCGGCTCAGGTCATGATCCCAGGGTCCTGGGATCCAGCCCCACATCAGGCTCCCTGCTCAGTAGGGAGTCTGCTTCTCTTCCTACCCCCTGGCTTGTGCACTCTCACTTTCTCTCTCAAATAAATAAATAAAATCTTTTTTTTTATTTATTTGACAGACAAAGATGACAAGTAGGCAGAGAGGCAGGCAGAGAGAGAAAGAGGAGGAAGCAGGCTCCCCGCTGAGCAGAGAACCCAGTGCGGGGCTGGATCCCAGGACCCTGGGATCATGACCGGAGCCGAAGGCAGAGGCTTTAACTCACTGAGCCACCCAGGTGCCCCTTATTAAATAAAACCTTTAAAAAATACACTTGAAAGCACATCACATTAAAAAGTCAAACACAAACCATAAAAACTTAGATTGCCAAGTTTGCGCATTCACGGTGTCCATCTATGGTAGGATAACTGCAAAGATCTGTCCGGTTGCCTCTCTAGACCCCCTCAAGATCCAAGAAATGATGATGATGGTGATTGCAGAGGTATACACCTCTCTGGGCCTTGGTTTTCCCTGTCTAGGTGTTGTGGGTAGAGGTAGTGCCCCTTGCTAGAAACAGAGTCACTCTGAACTTCCCATGCCCCGTCCCACTCCTGTTAGCCACTCTGTCTGCACCCAAGTGACACGTGCCACCTGCCACCCACATCACTATGTGAGGGAGTGCTCTCTGTAGAGGGAAGAATTCACTGGAGTGAGCTAACAAAAATTCCAAGATTTACAGCCCCAAATCTTTGGGGGAGAAATATACACAGAAGGAGTTCAAATTTGAGGTTAGGACCAAATAAAGCTTAGAAATAGTGGGAAAAATAGGAGCGTACAAAACTAGCCAATAAAAAATGTAAAGTAGTAAGCTCCTTCTGAAAGAAAAAAAAGGAAATATTTATGTAATCACAATAAAGGGAACATTCTTATCTAGGAAATAAAGAGCATAGTGGTTACAATTCCGTGATCTACCTGTTATAAATCTCAAAAGAACAAAAATAAAGGCCTTCAGAGTGGAAAAAGTATTATTCTTGGTTGCAGTTTTTGTTTATTTTTTTTTAAGATTTTATTTATTTATTTGACAGAGATCACAAATAGGCAGAGAAGCAGGCAGAGAGAGAGGTGGAAGCAGGCTCCCTGCTGAGCAGAGAGCCCGACATGGGGCTCCATCCCAGGACCCTGGGATCATGATCTGAGCCGAAGGCAGAGGCTTTAACCCACTGAGCCACCCAGGCGCCCCTGCAGTTTTTATTTGCAGTTTTTATTTGAAGAACACTTTACACAACTTTTCTTTTTTTTTTTTTTTAAGATTTTATTTATTTATTTGATGGGGGGAGGAACACAAGCAGGGGGAGTGGGAGTGGGAGAAGCAGGCTCCCCAGATGCCAGGCTTAATCCCAGGACCCTGGGATCACAACCTGAGCCAAAGGCAGACACTGAACGACTGAACCACCCTGGCACCCTACACAGCCTTTCTTTACTGATTTTTGCTGTCATAGGTCAATTTTTCCTCAGCAACAAAGAAATTATATGTATTTTCCTTACAAACATTATATGAATGTATAGATTTATTTATCTCCATTATGATCAATATTAAAAATTAAACATAACTTTTCCTCATTTGGTCAAATGCCACGTGAATGTGTCTGCCTCCTAATTCTGCATGAAAACACAGGGATTGTTTGTTGTTGGTGTTCATTTGCAAAAACGTGCTATTTTATATTGTGTTTTACTCAAGTAAAGAAGACATTAAAAAATCCTTAGCGTAAGTTGGCAGCTATCTATAGTTCTCAGCAAATATATCTTTAAATCTAAGATTTGGCACAGGTCCGTGACCATCTGATGAATGCTTATCTTTCCTTCCAGAACATCCTTTCAACAGTCATAACTCATTAATGAAGCTGTGCTTGCACAACACATTCCTGTAGTTATTGGCATAATTATATTTTCTACTGAGCTCAAGTCTGGTTTCTTGATTTATATAGCTACAAACTTTTTTTTTTTTTAGATTATTTATTTATTTGACACAGAGGGAGAGATCACAAATAGGCAGAGAGACGGGCAGAGAGAGGGGGGGAAGCAGGCTCCCCGCCGAGCAGAGAGCCCGATGTGGGTCTCGATCCCAGGTCCCTGAGATCATGATCCGAGCTGAAGGCAGAGGCCCAACCCACTGAGCCACCCAGGTGCCCCCGAACTTTTGGTTTTAGGGTTTTTTTTGTTTCTTTGTTTTTTTAGGGTAAATGTGCGCATTTTTATAACATGAAAAATTAGTAAATGTAAATGCAATTGGAAACAGTTATGGATTCTTCAAATCCTTCTTATATTTTATAAACCCTTTGCATAAAAACTAGCAGAAGAGGAGAGCCTGGGTGGCTCAGTCAATTAAGCATCTGCCTTCAGCTCAGGTCATGATCTCAGGGTCGTGGGATCAAGCTCTACACCAGGCTCCCTGCTCAGTGGGAGGTCTGCTTCTCTCCCTGCTTGGGCTCTCTCACTAGTACTCTCTCCTGCAAATAAATAAGTAAAAATCTTAAAATAAAAAACTAGCAGAAGAAATTCCAGGTAAATGTTTGTATGGTGAAAATTGATAAGGAAATTTACAATGTAAGCTAATGATCGCCAAAGAGGACAGTGTCTAAAAAAACTTTCCCTCTTATTGCATTCAGCAGTATATTTCTGTTACAATAATCTCACTTTGTTAAAGCCTTTTTTTCCGTGAGGATGATGGGTTTAAAGGATGAAGGGAAGACATATCCCTCTCCCACCGAGAGAGGCCGTGAGGAACAGGCTCAAGGGCAGAGCAGGTCGGTGGCAAAGGGAATGTGTGATTTTGGTGTCACCCGTGCCACTACCTGAATGGCCTTGGGCAAGTCACCTGTCCCTAGCTTTAGTTTCCTCACCTGTAAAGTAGTAAAACAGGACCCTGAATTCTGAAAAGCAGTGGCATCCATGAGGGTAGCTCCTTCAGAGAAAAGGAGAATAAAATCCCCTCACAAGTGGGAGACTGTGTAGAGATGCACTGCTTGAAACTAGGGCCTGTCCCCCCCTTTTTTTTAAATTTATTTATTTGACAGACAGAGATCACAAGTAGGCAGAGAGGCAGGCAGAGAGAGAGAGAGAGAGGAGGAAGCAGGCTCCCTGCTGAGCAGAGAGCCTGATTCGGGGCTCGATCCCAGGATGCCGGGATCATGACCTGAGCCGAAGGCAGAGGCTTTAACCCACTGAGCCACCCAGGCGCCCCAAGGGCCTGCCCCCTTTTATATACAACCTTTAAAATGTCAAATTATAAACCTCTAGTAAAACTGATAAAGAAAATGTGCAAAAGTCACAAAAATTAATATTATACACAAAAGAGGTCATAACAGCAGATGAAATGGATCATTCAAAATCATAAGCTAACTGGCAAATAACTTTATGTCCCTGAATCGGAACACTTAAAATGAAAAAATTTTGAGAAATATGTAAACTAACACAGTCAAATTAAAAACAAAAAAAACCTGAAGGCCTGCATTTAACACTAACCAGCAAAGAAACTCAATTGGTAGTTAGTAACATGCATGAAAGACAACAGGCCCCCCCAAAAAATAGTCTCTACCAAAAAAACCTAGAGCAAACATCATACATCATGGGGAGCCAATAGAAGTATTTTGTTTAACATCAGAAATAAGAGAACCCCAGTATTAGCCTTACTGTTCAACCTAGTCCTGGGTGGCCCAGCTAACTCAGTTAAGATAACAATAAACAACATATGTAAGAAACGAAATGGGAACTGCCCTTATTTGTAATCAAAGTCTGTGTTTGTATTTTAAAATTGTTTGTATTTGTATTTAAAATTCAAGACAGTATGTGGCTAAACCTGAGCCTAAATTTCAAATGGAAATGCTAGGGACCAAAATAGCCAAGACAAATTAAGAGAAGAGGAGGAGAGGACTTGACCTGCCAGATTGCAAGACTTATATTAAAAACCTTGTAATGAGGGTAATGGGATCTTCGTCCAGGACCAGACATCTAGAGGTGTGTAGATGAACCACAGGAAACAGAACCACAGATATACAACAGACACGCCATTTCGGTGGGGATCTAACAGGGCCAGACTGAGACAAAGAAGAAAACTACACAGAACTAGATCCCAGCGTCCCATAATACATAGAACTAACATCGGGCGGCACGATAGACCGGAGCACGCTTTGCCTGGCCGAGGTAAATTCCAGTGTCATGCTGTCACTGTGAGCTTCATTTCTGAGCCCTTCTGCTGTCACTCTGTGCTAAGAATCCCATGTAGGGAACGCTGCAAAATGTTTCCTGAAATGACATAGGACAAGAAGTAAAAAGGTAAAAGCCGATTGTGATTCATGCTTTCCTTTACAACTAAAACTAACCACTGGCTTCTTTCCACTCTGAAGAAAGTCATTTAAAGTTCCTGATTCAGGGTGCCTGGGTGGCTCAGTGGGTGAAAGCCACTGCTTTTGGCTCAGGTCATGGTCCCAAGGTCCTAGGATCGAGCCCCGCATCGGGCTCTCTGTTCAGCAGGGAGCCTGCTTTCCTTCCTCTCTCTCTGCCTGCCTCTTTGCCTACTTGTGATCTCTGTCTGTCAAATAAATAAATAAAAATCTTAAAAAAAAAAAAAATTTAAAGTTCCTGATTCAAGGGGTCTGGGTGGCTTAGTCAGTCAAGCGTCTGCCTTTGGCTCGGATTTTGGTCTCGGAGTCCCGGGTTAGAGCCCCACATTGGGCTCCCTGCTCAACAGGAGAGTCTGCTTCTCCATCTCCCTCTGCCCCTCCTTCCACTCTTGCCCTCTCTCTTTCTCTCAAATAAATAAAATAAAATAAAAAATCTTTAAAATAAAGTTCCTGATTCATCAGATAAATTAAAAACTCACTTAGAATTGTGTTTGAAAATAAGATACAGTTTCTTAAAGAAGATATGAATGATGACTCATAAAACCCCTGCATAGACATTTTCACCTGTGAACTCAGACAGATGGAGCCACTAAAGGCAAAAAGATTTAGTTTTAAATAGTTAATATTTAATGTTAGTTAAACAGCCAGTTAATTAATTAAATTACTTCACTATTAATAAATTAATAAATAATTAAATTGTTTAATTAACTGAGTATTAATATTTACATGGAAAGTAATAGTGGTTTTTTGGAAAGTTCTATCTTGGGGAGCTCCTTTCTTTCTCCTGGTTTGTGGTTCTTTTTCCTTAATGTAGCACTGGCACATTTCAACTGATTAACAACCACAAAACACAGGAACATTCAATCCCAGAGGCAATTTGAATGCAGTCATTGATAAAATACAAGCTATAATAAAACCATTTCATTTTAACTGAGCTGATGTTCTAATCTGTATGTTGCTGCAGGCGCACAGTAAAACAGTATCAAAAAAGGCTAATGTCTGTGCCAGAAAGGAGATAAGCATCCAAAATGAGCTCTGGCAAAGAAGGCCAATATTCACTTACTATGGTACATACCTTCAAGATTTCAGCAAGCAACTGAAAAAAGGAGTTGAATTTTGGGGGTACTTTTGATGGATAGAAAAACTTACAAATAAGGGATTAAGTATTAACCGTTTAACAATTTGTTTCAAAACTTAAATACTGGGCACCTGGGTGGCTCAGTGGGTTATGCCTCTGCCTTCAGCTCAGGTCATGATCTCAGGGTGCTGGGATCGAACCGCATCAGGCTTTCTGCTCAGCAGGGAGCCTGCTTCCTCCTCTCTCTCTCTGCCTGCCTCTCTGCCTACTTGTGATCTCTGTCAAATAAATAAATAAAAATTAAAAAAAAAAAAACTAAATACGTTAAACAACAGCTCTGCGTTTCCTGCTAACAGTTGGTGGTAAAGAATGTTGATTTCCCTCCTTCACAGGGTCCCTGAGCCTGTCTAGTTTGATTCTGGAAAAGTTGCCAGGTTGGAGTTAAATTGTAGGACAATAAAGAAATATAAACATTTTTGTTAACTGAGTAAAATATTGATTTCAGTCAAATCCTGAATGTGTAATTTTGCACTGGCAAGCCAGGATTTTTCTTTTCTCACCAACAACCAACTAAATATCATTTTAAATGGTTGTCTCACGTTAAAGCCAAAGCAAGAGGGGTAACTGAAATATCCTTTGGGAGCTGAGAGCTCAAATTCTTAGCCTGGGGTAAATGCCTTAAATTACCTATAAAACCAAATGATGATAGAATGCAATTCTTGGCAAAACATGGATACTTCAACAAAATGAGACTTACAGTGATAGAAAATATTATAAAGAAAATACCTTGGAAGGAAGGAAGGTAGGAAGGACGGGAGAGAAAGAGAAAAGGAGAGAGAAAGAGAGAGGAAGGAAGGAAAGAAAAAAGGAAGGGAGGGAGGGAGGGAGAGAAAGGAAGAAAGAAAAAGGGAAGAACTTCCCTACTGCTTCACACATTGAAAACATTAGTGGGGAAAATTCCGAGAAAGAATTTTTCCTCCAGTACTGACTGCCTTTTTAATGTTAATGTCTACTTAAAGGGTCTTTTAAAATCTCTTAAAATCCTCAAAATCTCCAGTACCTATATTTCTCTTAGAAACTAGTGTTTGCTTTTGGGGCACCCAGGTGGCTCAGTCAATTAATCATCCAACTCTTGGTTTTGGCTCAGGTCATGATCTCAGGGTTGTGAGACTGAGCCCTACACTGGACCCAGCAGGGAGCCTGCTTAAGATTCTCTGTCTCCCTCTTCCTCTGCCCCTCCACCTACCCTCAAAAAAGAAAAACAAAAAACAAAAAACAAAAAAAAAAGAAGAAAGAAGAAAGAAACTACTGTTTGATTTATACCTGACCACTAACAGAGAGGCTCTGAATGAGAGCGGAATGAATAACACGGTGAAAATAGGTATCAGTTGCTCAGTCAGAATATCACAGTAATAAACACTGAGATGAAGAAAGAACACGATCTCATTTCCTGTCTTTGTAGAGTTCAATCTTACCACTTACTTGGGCTCTGTCTTCGTGGAGTCTCTACTATCTTCTATGCTCTCATCAGGGATGGCATCTTGGGTTTATATGATGAGTAAGTGACAGTCACAAGCCAATGAGAGACGAAATGACTTACTTCCACCTAAGTCTCTTCCTTCATTTCTTAGATGAACTATGCCTGACAAACAGTCCAATCCTGCAAAGAATTCTGGTTCTTCTCGGCATTTTATAGATCTCTGTGTGTAAATAACCTAACAGATTTGCATTCAGTTGGTAAAATCAAAGTTACGGGGGCTGAAGTGTGCCTATTGCCACATGCTCACCATCTGTGTTTAAAACCTTACACCATAGGCTCCCGGAGAATGAAGAAAGTGAACACAAGTAAGCCTTCTTTTCAGATCTGTACATGGCTGGCTTCCTCAATTCATTACGTCTCCTTGGAGAACGCTTGGCTGACCACATCCTCACCGGCCCCCTCCTCCAACAGTCCCATCCTTCACCGGTGGGGTGTTTCTTCATTACTGTGTCTGACAACATAGTGTATTTTCTGGGTTTGTTTTCACCCTCCTTCAGCAGAATGTGAGCTCCAAAAGAGCAGGCGTTTCGTTGTTGAGTTTACTGCGGTACCCTCATTGTGGAAAGGAATGCCAGGCACATCATAGGCACTAATGTATCTTTGCTGAATGAATGATTCCAATTTATATTTCCCCACCAATCACATTTTTCAAGGACTCCTTAAGTTCTTATTGCTGCTAGTAAATTTCATTTACATTCCTTTCCTCGGAAGAGCCGTATGGTTTAAAGCAAACCTGGAGAGCAAGATTCTAAACACCTTGTTGATAATCCTTATACAGATTAGTAACAAATGCCTAATTGTTTTAGAATTTTTTTTTTCACTCCAGCTAATTCCAGCTACAATTTTGGGACAGCTCAGTGAAAAGACCCAGCGAAATACCTACCTGTGCATTATTGGACCTACAGATTGTCCATGAAACATTTTGATGACAGCCCGGCTTTCAGCTTCCAGACAATCACACTCACAGGCAGCAACAGCAACCTATCAACATGTAATAGTTCCTGTCTGAAACTCTTTAAACTCTGAAAAATGTGTTTACATCCGTTAATTGTAAGCATAAGAAATGAAAAAATATATGAATATCAGTCTGTGAAAAGTTTACAGTACGTTATTCACCAAAAAAATTTATGTAAGTCAAAATTAAGTGCAAATGAAACAGGAGCTCTACAAAATTAGCATATTGTGTTTGTTCTCTTTCACTGAGTTTTAACTTACACTTTAAAAAATCTTTTTGTCCTCACCTCAATCACTTTTAACCCCTATTTTATAGATGAAGAAACAGACATAGGGAAATTAGATAAATTGTCTAGGAATTCGGGACAGGACAACCAAGGATCAACACTTGTGCCTTCTGAGGACACATTTAATATTCTCTCCCTATATTAAGTATGCTTCAGTTAAAAAAAAAAAATCAAATATGCAAGAAATAGCACTTTCCTCATTTTCTGTAACAATGCTCTGCTTTACAACCCATTTTTCTTGGTTGGAGGAAGACACAGCAAGCAGTTATCAATTAGGGGAGGGGTGGCCCTTTGATTCTACGTCATTGATCAACACCAGCTGTCCTACGCCTGGCCCACTGGTCCTGTGTGCACAGCTCTCTGCTGCTTCTGTGGTATCCTCATCCTGCCACTCTCTTCCCCAAATATGGCAGTTTTGTCACTTATAATGCTGTCTAAAGTTCTGACTGCACAGCACCCAACACGGTCATTTCTTCCAAGTGGAATCTCCCTGGTGACACAGTATGGTCCCAGGCCTCTGCTCTCAGGAACCATACATCCCCCCCTCCTCTTGCTTCTCCCTTCCCTGGCCCAGGTGGGGATGCTTTAAATTCTCCCAGTCTATCACTGGCTGTGGGACTTTGGGCAGGTTATTACCTTCTCTGTGCCTCAGTTCCTCCACCTTTAGATGGGAATTTATTCTACAATAAATGTTTAGTGAGTACCTAATATTTGCCAGGTACTATTCTGGATAATACAGGTAAAGCAGTAAACAAAAACAGAAAAAAAAAAAAAAATCCTTGCCCTCATGGAACATTCTTTTCTCTTTCTTTTTTTTTTCTTAAGATTTTATTTATGTATTTGAGAGAGACAGAGAGAGCTAGAGAGAGCACAGGTCGGGAGGAGAGGGAGAAGCAGGGACCTCACCCTGGTCCAATCCCAGGACCTGGAGACCATGACCCTAGCCCCTGAGCCACCCAGGCGTCCCCCTCATGGAGCATTCTTAACAATATTAGTAACAACAACCTTATAAGGTTTTGAGAGCATTAAATGAGTGCATACAGGTGTGCTTAAAAAGACTTGTGCATCACCTCCATGCTGACGAGGTGGATGAGTGTTAGTGAGGGTTTATTAACGCTGTTAGCCGCTGGTCTGTAGGGAAGGTGGTTTCCTTTCCCCAGTGTCTGCCAAAGAGTCCTTGTGCTGTCCCTGGTTAGGCCTTGGAACTAAAAGCCAGAAAAAGAAGGAGTTGCCAAACAACTTTTACTTTTTACCCTGCTTCATCCTCTCCAGAGGGAATGAGCTGAGTCAGCAATCTGCTTGAATATGGGGAAGGTAAAGGGGGAAAAGCAGGGTGAAGACCCCTCAAGGGTTTCCTCGAGTCTGTCCTGATTAGTGCTTTTTTCTGCAGGCTCGTGTCCTTTACATACACCCCCATGCACCAGATTGGGCTGCATGAGAAAGAACTATGAATAAAAGTGACAGTCTGTATGATAATGTTCCCACAAGCATTTGAAGCACTATGAGAACTTAATTGAATATACCTTCCTTTTTCTCTGGCGGCTTCGGAACTGGAGCACTCTTAGCTCCCTGGTATTTAATTAGTGAGTTCCTAACTGCCGTTCAAGATACAACTTTGACTCAGAGTCCCAATTTGTTCTTGTTTTTATTTTCCAACCAATGTAGTTAGTTGCTTATCTATGGTCCTGAATGAAGACTTCCAGCCTGGACTGACTGCTTGCCTGAAATTGGTATTTCAACAATACTGCTTTGAGCTCTGGAACTTTCGGCAGACCAACACCCTCCGAGGGCATCGGTTTCCCCATCTGTAAAATGGTAATGATAAAATCATCCTGAATTCTCAGAGTTGAAAGGAACAAACAGGTTAATGTATTTAAATCATTTAGTGCATTGCTTGACAGGTAGTCACTACTTGATAAGTATCAGTAGTTATTAGGTATTTCTTTAAGGATGGAAAAATAGGGGCACCTGGGTGGCTCAGTTGGTTAAGCGTCTGCTTTCAGCTCTCATCATGATCTGGGGATCCTGGGTCCGAACCCCGTGTCAGGCTCCCTGCTCAGTGAGGAGTCTCTTCCTCACTCTCTTTGTGCTCTGTCTCAGATAAATCAATAAAATCTTTAAAAAAAAAAAAAAAAGAAAAATAAATACAATACTTTAAAAATAGCCCTCAGGGATGCCTGGTTGGTTCAGTCGTTAAGCCACTGCCTTTGGCTCAGGTCATGAACCCTGGGTCCTGGGATGGAGTCCCACATGGGGCTCCTTGCTCAGCAGGGAGCCTGCTTCTCCCTCTGCCTGCTCTGCCCGCCACTCCCCCTGCTTGTGCTCCTTCTCTTTCTCTCTCTCTGAGACAAATAAATAAAGTAAAATCTTAAAAAAAAAAAAAAAAAAAGAATAGCCCACATATCGGTTCCTCTTTTTTTTTTTTTTAATTTTCGTAAAGGGGAAGTGTTCAAATACACCCATTTTTACTTTTCCAGCTGTTCTGTTGATGGAGAAAGAAGGAAGTCTCCAGGAGAAGCCCACAGAACTTCCTTTACTCAGCTTCCTGATTTCCTTTTCACAGTTATTTGAGAAACTAAAAACATCAGAAATGAAGTATTTAAACCTGGGATGGAGCAGTCAGGAAGCGAAGAATATGTTTCTCTTTTTGCTTACAACCTGTCTGGGTAATCGAAATGTGCTTGCAAATCTTTACTGTCTATGATTCCCAGATTTCAATAGGGATAGCACTATTCTTAATTGACTTTTCAGATACTGTGAAGAATCATACAATAATTATCTCCAAGATGGTCAGTAAATATTTTTCTGCCTAACCTTTTCCCTGAAAGAGGATTCCCAGAGGTAAGTAAATAATAATTGTATAAATAATATTTTTTTAACTGCTTCCTGTGAGCCAGGCATTAAGCAAAGTGCTTGGCATGTATTATCTCATTTAATGCCCCTAAAATGACATCATAAATGATGTGCATATCCTTGAGTATGGTTTGTAGCTGCCTAGGGCATGTCATGAAAGCATTTCTAGATGCAAAATTCCTCGAATATTTTAATTTTATTCATGAGTTTCCATGTTTATTTCTGTAGAGTGGGGGAAATAAGCATTACAATAGAGTAAATTGACTTGCATTTTTAGACTTTTCCAGAACTGGGAGCCTGTGTGGTTCAGTGGGTTAAAGCCTCTGCCTTCAGCTCAAGTCATGAACCCAAGGTCCTGGGATAGAGCCTCACCTTCCCCACGTTGGGCTCTCTGCTCAGTGGGAGCCTGCTTCCCTTCCTGTCTCTGCCTGCCTCTCTGCCTACTTGTGATCTCTGTCAAATAAATAAATAAAATCTTAAAAAAAAAAAAAAGACTTTTCCAGAATCAATTACTGTCCCCTCTGTATCATTACAATGTACACTGTAGGAGGAAGGCATGCCTTACACCCTCCTTTGCCTTTACCCTGTCCTGTTACCCAAAAGCATCTCGTCTCCTCTCAAAACCCCAGTTCTTAGAAAATAAAAGAATTGGCCTATTGACCTCTGAAATCTCTTTCCACTCTATTATTCAATGACATAATTTCCCCCAGAACACTTTTCTTACATGAAAACTAAGACCAAAGGGACACAGAGTTCCTGGACTGAAAGTTACAAGGGCACAAACTATCTTTGTCCCCATACCCGGCAACAAAGAAAAGATACTCAGATCAGGGGAAGGTGACCCTCTCTGATAATCCCAGGTCACAGAATGGATTCACTCTTTACAGGCACTAAAGTAATGCAGACGAAAGTATAATTTAGAGAGAATTTTTTGGTAAGATTAAATCATTTTCCTTAGAATTTGTCAAGA